TTCTTTGATAAGAGGAATATAGTGAGAGTTAAAATAATAGAATTTGTCAAATTAATGTATCCTTATTGTCTCTCTCACTTCTCTCTCGCTCCTTCACTCTCACATTTCTTCTTTCTACTCTTGTTCTTTTTTTAATGTTGACAAAGCTAATACTTAATTTGCATTTGCCTTTTGCTTTTGCTTTTAGTTTTGGATATTTTTTGAAAGTTTGAAGACTCTTAACTTAATATGAATCCCTCTCTTTATTTATTAATTTGCTTTAGGTTTTATTTTCATACATATTACATTATTTAAATTATAAAAATTAATTTTTTTATGAACGTATTCCCGCTGTATCCATATTATACTTTTTCAAATTTTGACGTATCGCTGTATCCGTATCCCTGTATCGCCATATCCCATATTCGTATCTGTGCTTCCTAGGTGCACTTTCCTTTTAATTTCAGAGCTTCCCCACAAGAATGCAGCTCGTAGTTTGTTAATTGACTTAGCAACCCCTTTAGGCATCTTAAAAATAGAAAGGGAGTATGACGGTAAACTTGTAAGGGTTGACTTGATCAAGGTAAGCCTACCTGCAAAAGATTAGAACTTTCTTTTCCATGTAGCCAGCTTCTTTCTTGATCTTGTCGACAACTGGCATCCAAATGCTCTTCCTTCTTGGATTAGCCCCTAAAAGTAGGCCCAAGTACTTAAGAGGCAATTTTTGTGTGAGGCAATTAAGTTTTTTGGCCAACTCTCAACACTAACTTATGTTTCTTTTTCTTTTATCAGTAAAATTCAATTGTTAGTTGTTAGATTAACGCCTATGGGATTAGCTTCTCCACCCTTTGCAAAGTAATAAGTGTTTGTCGCTTTAATTCAACTCCCCCTAGAGAGAGTTTTTGTTTTTTAATGATGAATCTTTTTCTGTTCGGTTGTGTTTGGTTAATTGTTTTGGGTAGAAATTTGAAAAACCGAAAGAAAAATGTGTGGAAAAGGTATGTGAAATATAGGTATATTTCATTCATATTTCACTTACTTTTTTTTTTACCTTTTAAAATCACTCATCAAATTCATAAACCAAGCACAGCTTTCTTAATTTTTTTTTAGTGGCTCATAATTTCGAAAATATCATTCCCACATTATTTATTATGAATTTCATATAAAAAAAAGTCACCACCACGTTACTCTTGATAAGATTTTTGAATAAATAATATGTTTGCATGCAAATTTTCTTCATTTTTTAATAAAGACAAATTATATTGATAGTCCCTACATTTTCTCACTAGTGTCATTTTAATCTCTAAAATTTCAAATGACCCAATTTTGTCCAATTGATAACGTTATTAGAATTTTTGATAAATTTTTTTTTTGGGTAAATTAAACTTTACACTCCTGCACTTTATACTAAATCTTTGGTCCCTACATATGAAATCATGACAATCAACATCCTACACTTCTTGTCAAATCTCACTTTGATCCCTATACATGAAATCGTGACAGTCAACCCCATGCACTTTTAATCAAATCTCATTTTGATCCCTACACAAGTTTCAATGTCCTTGTTCTGTAACTTCATTTTTAAATCTGTAACAAAATCCATTCATGTGACAAAAATGTGACTATAAAAAAGGAAAATCATCCATGTTTCCCACCAATACACTTTATCCTACGTGATAAGCACATGAGAGTTATATATATATATATATATATGTTCGTATGGTAAAAATTTTGACGAAAATGTAAGAAAGTAGAGTTTTTGAAATAAAAAAAAAAAATGCAATAAAGAAATCAAAGAGAAATAATGATGAATAGACAGAAGACTGGGTTACTGTGAAAAATAAAGTTTCGTGATTCCAATTTATGCAAAATCCTAATTCATCTTCTTAAATGTTCACAATCTGCGTTTTGTTTTAACCTAATACAGTCATATTTTGATGTAAATTTTGGAATAAAGTGTGTATTAATGAAAAATGTAAATGATTTTCTTTTCGTACCCTCATGCCATAGTTACATTCTTATCACTAGATTTTGTTAAAGATTTAAACAATCGCGTAATAGAAATGGGACATGGACACTTGTATAGGAACCAAAATGAGATTTGACCAAAAGTAGGGAGTTGACTATTATGATTTCATGTGTATGGGCCAAAGTCAGATTTGGTATAAAGTTCAGGGGTGCAAAGTATAATTTATCCAATTTCCCAACTTTTCTAATTTGTAGGGACACACTAATTTGTTTTTTAAAAGTATTAAAATAAAGGAGGCTATTCAATACAGTTGTTCAATTTATGTAACAAAGCACACAAGGCACAACAAGCTTGCCAACAAAATTTAATTAAAATTTTGGAAGAGCACTTATACATTGGTTAGACTAAATAAACAAAATGAAGTACCGATCTATCTACATTCTTACCAAGTTTGTCAGGAAAAAAGTGAACTTCATTTGGGCTATTTTTTTTTAATTATAAAAAAATCAATTTTAAGTCTCAATAAAAAGCACCTTTGATAAACACGGCCAAAAGTTGAGAACTTTAGGAATATGAAATTGTAAATAGCATATCGTATTTGTTTCTCTATCCACTATCTACGGCTCTCAAACTATTACCCTTTCTCTCATTTATACTAGAAGAACCCCTCCACCCCACCCTCCATCACTTTAATCACACAAATAGTTGTTATTCTTCTCATTTTATAAATAAATAAACCCAAGGACTACTGCTACTGTTGCTGCTATATATCACTGGTTATAACAAACATGACAGCAAGTCATTAGTGTTTTGAGGAAGTTTTTTAGTAAGTTTTATTAAAAACTTCCTCAAGTCCCAGATTGATTGGAAAACCAATACTATTCTCTTATTGGATTTGTATTTGAGTATCTCTTCTTTTACTTTACATGATTCCCAAAGCCTAGTGTCTTTTTTATTTAATAAATGATTTGAATAAATAACAAGATGCATAGAAATAAATATATTAATATTAAACCGTTGTAACCGAAATAAATGACATAATAACAAAATCACTTAAATGAGTAGCCATTATTACGTTCAAAAGAAAAAATTGGAAACATTTGGTATATTAACAGAAAATCCAGAGAAATAAGCATATATCAGTATCAAAATCAAAATCATAGCCCAAACAAAATTAGATGAGTTTGATGACAATCTAAATACTTGTCATTGAAATGGACATAAACTACAATTTCCCCAAGAAAACCAATACAACAGATTAAAATTTGATATTTGTAGCCCCATCAGTGTGTTTGAGGGCTTAAACAAAGCAAAATAGATGTAGAACTTGGACTGTTGTAATGGTGTTCAAGTGGTGAAAGTCCAGAGAGCAGGAAAAAGCACAGCTAGAAGCATCGTTCCAACTATTTAAGGGTGTACAAGCGGTGAAATCCAAAGAGCAGTCCAAGCACCACTCGAGCAAGATGGGTCGATTTGGGGTTGGGCTTGAAGCTATATGCGAATGGAAGAAGACATAGAGAGGGAGATAGAGACACATACACACACAAAGAGCGAAAGAGAGAACATACCTACCCTGGACAAAGCGACGGTGGTGCTCGTGTAACCCTTGCGGTGTGCTCGTCTAACCCTTTCGGTGGTGCTCCAGTAACAGAAAGGACGACAGAGGCGTGAGGCGTGAGAGAGAAGAGACACAAAAGCGTAAGGCGTGAGGCGTAAGAAAGAAGAGAAACAGAATCGTGGGTTTGTTTAATCAATGGATTATGCTTCCATTCCCAACCAACCCAAAATTTAGTCACTAATTCATTTAGGAATCCCTCCAAATTTTGAAATCTTACCTCCAAAAATTAAATTACAATTGTAGTGTAAATTTTAAGTCGCTAAAAGTAAGAGAAATACCGACTAAATTACTTTTAGGAGCTACGGATTAATAATTTCAGGGACTAAATTTAATTTCAGTGCCCAAAATCCTAGTTTCAACGACTAAAATTCAATTAGTCGCCAAAAGTAAAATAAAAATACTGACTAAATTGTTCTTAGTAGCTAAAGATTGTACATTTGGGGACCAAAAAAAAGTTAGACATCCAAAATCGTGTTTTCAACGACTAAACTTAGTTAGTCACCAAAAGTAAGAGAAATACTGACTAAACTATATTTAGTAGCTGATGATTATACCTTTGCCGACCAATTTTTCTTTCGTAGCTAAAGTGCCTATCTTTGGCGACTATATTTTTTTTTAGTAGCTAAAGTATGTATCTTTGGCGATTAAATATTTTTAGTCACTGAAAATATATATTTAGCGACTAATTTTTTGGTTGCCAAAGATTAAAAGTAATATTTATGTTAGTTTTTTGGCGACTAAATTTCTTTAGTCAGCAAAAATTAGTATACAACGATTAAATGTTTTTTGGTCACTAAAGATCAATATTTGGCTACTAAACCAGGTAGTCACCAAAAATTTTTAGTAAAATTATAGTAGTTATTTGGCTATTAAATTTATTTTAGTAGGCAAAAATTAGCATATAGCGACTAAATATTTTTTGGTCACTGAAAAGGCATACTTGCCAACCAAATTAGGTAGTCGCCAAAGATTTAAAGTGAAATTATGTTAGTTAATTGGCTACTAAATATAATTTAGTCAGCAAAAATTAGTATACTGCTACTAAAACAAACTTTAGTAGCCTAAAACCTGAACTAATGCCGACCAATATTTTTTTAGTCGCCTATTGTGACACTTTTGGGAACTAAATTTTTGTTTAGTCGCCAATAAATTATATACAGCTACTACCTACAACAAATGCCGACCAATGTACTTTTTAGTCGCCTAATGTACAACTTTTGGCAACTAAATTCTTTTTAGTCGTTAAATTTGATCGCCAAAAGTGTAATTTCTTATAGTGGTAATTGGATCAATTTGAGACAAATTAAAAATTCAAGATCAAAGTTAATCTAATTAAAATTATAAAGACTAAAATGACACAAAAAAAAAAACGAAGTATAAGAGCTAACAAATACGGAACTAAACTTGTCAACCTTGTTTTTGTTACATACGCAGTTTGTGGGATGGTCATATTCCTCGCCTTTGTAATTATTGTGACTTGGGGAGGGTGCAAGAGAAGAAACAAACATAGAAATTTCCAACAAAATGGAGGTTCCTTGTTAAAGCATCAAAAAATTAGGATCTTCAATGAAAAGGAGCTTGAGAAGGCAACCGAAAAGTACGATAAGGGTCGACTTCTTGGCCAAGGAGGCTCTGGTGCAGTATACAAAGGAGTTTTAGCAGACAAGTCAGTTGTGGCAATAAAGAAGCCTAATGAATTCAAACACTTGCAAAGAGAGATCATAATAATAAAGGAAGAATTTCAACATGAAATTAGTGTTGTCTCTCAGGTCAACCATAAGAATGTGGTGAAGCTTTTAGGCTTGTGTCTAGAGACAAAACTCCCATTACTCATTTACGAGTTCATCTCCAATGGATCACTCTTCGATCACCTCCATGTCAAGCGCTCCGCGATGCTAAAATCATGGGCAAATCGTCTGAGAATTGCTGCCGAGACATCACTAGCGCTCGATTATCTTCACTCACTTGCTGACCCACCAATCATCCATAGAGATGTCAAGTCCACCAACATACTTCTTGATGAAAAATTCACTGCAAAAGTTTCTGATTTCGGAGCTTCTGTGTCGATTCCATTGGGTGAAAGTGCTGTTGTGACTAAAGTACAAGGAACTCGTGGGTACTTGGACCCCGAGTACCTCGATACGGGTACTTTGACAGTAAAGAGCGATGTTTACAGCTTCGGGGTTGTTCTTATGGAGCTCTTAACAGGACAGAAGCCAATTCGTCCTCAAAATTCCGACGAAAATGGGAACATCATTCAGTATTTCATTTCCTCGGTGGAACAGAAAAGATTCTCGCAGGTTTTGATGAACTTTGAGGATGTTGAAGCGAGGGAAACTGAGCAAATTGAAGCGGTGGCAGAACTTGCCATGAAATGTCTCCAGAGGTACGGCACTGAACGGCCTACAATGAAGGAGGTGGCTGAGCAACTCGTTGGATTGAAGAAATTGTATGAGATCTTTCATGCTCAGGAAGACAATGATGATGAAGAGAGGGAGGGCTTGTTAGGTCACTCGATCAACACAAATGATGAAGTGTTTCATTCAATGTCGGAAAATTATTACATGACTGCACTTAATATTGGATTTTCGTGAAACAGCACATGCTTGAAAGCGAGGTCGTTTGGTGGTAGCTCTACGAGTTTGTGCTTTATCAATATATTTCTTCTGTTGTTGAATACTTTTATCTTTAAAGTCTGCGCTATATACGTTCTAGGGTGTTAATTATTGTCCAGTACTTTTTTATTTTTTTATTTGAGTCTTTTTCTCGTGCTCTCTGTGGGACTCAGGTGTTGCACTTGATAGGTTTTGGTGTATATACCAATCTAGTTATAATATGTTTTTTAATTCTTGACGCTTGTTTTGCCTTATACTTTCTTTTCTATTGAAATATATATATATAGTTATAATTTGGTATTCGGTTTAATAAATCAACTAAATTTTTTTCTTAAGTCTTGATGCTTGTTTTGCCTTAATTTCCTGTGCTTTTTCTAATGAGAAATGTTAGAGGTCATGAAATTTTTTTCATGAAAATAATCATAAAAGATTTGTGATCCTTAGATTATCTTGATTAATGTGTGGTGCTTTATTCTAAATGTAATTCAAATGTCACAAATCTTTCATGATCACTTTCATGAAAGACTTTTCATGATACCTAACATTGCTATTTTTTAATTTTATTTTAATAATTCGGTATAGGTTTTGATGTATGTGCCAACCTAGTTAGATATATATATATATATATATTGGCCTTAATTGTCCACTAATGGACGCCATTTAAAGCTGGAACAAAATTTCATATGTGCTATATCCAAGAAGTTGTTTGCTCGAAGAACTTATTTACGTGTACCTCTTGTACTCTATTTGCATCAATAATATTTTTTCTTTTTTGTGATAGATATATGTTTATGTTTTAAACAAGTTAATGGATCTATTAATGAAGGTCAATGTATAAGCTCGTATTGTTATGGTTTCTCTGGTGTAATTATTTGGAGCAGATTTCTCCAGCAACTTTGTCTATGAAAAAATATTGAAGAACTTAGGGATGACAATGGATAACCTACCCTGTGGGTATCCATGGAGAACCAACCCAAATACATGAATTTTTTCCTTTTTTTCTTATCCATGGGTAGGGTATGTGATATTCTTTAAATATCCACAGGGAACGAATTGGGGATGGGTACCCACTAATTTCCCCATATGTTGCTTTCTTTTTTTTTTTCTTTTTTTAATTCACAACCAAAACTAAATACACATTCAATCTTTTTTCTTTTATTTATTTATTTATTTTTTTTTTTTTCAAGTTCACAAACAACTTCTTCTTTTTTTTTTTTAAGATCCACAACCAAAACTAAATATACATCCAATCTTTTTTTATTATTATTATCTTTATTTTTAAGGTTCACAACCATTTTTTAAAAATTTAAATAGCTTCTCCTGAAATTACATCCTGAACTAAATAAATTACATCCGAGTAAGCTAAATAAATTTATAAACATCCTGAACTTCTCCGACTTGAATGGGGGAATTATCACCTGAAATTACAAAACTAACCGTGAATGTTACTAATATTAAAAACTTGGTTGCTAAAACTGGTAATAAAGAATAGAAATAATAGGGAAATTATTTTTATTTTTAAGGTTCACAATTTATACAACATATATATATATATATATATGAATGTATTTGAAAATAAGGAAATTGTAGAGAATCAAAACAAGCATGAGTCGTGATTGATTAGAAAGGATGGGTACAAAGATTTATTTGCTGGAAAAATAAAAAGGAGATACAAAGTCTTACTAAATATTTTTTTTTAAATAAAAGAATTTTTCTTAGTTATGAACAGATTTAACTGAAATCAGCTTGTTTCCCAATGTTATGCTTCATTTATTTAGATAGAAAATATTTTTTTATGAAAAATATTTTTTATAAAAAAAATTAAAAATATATATTTTTTTTATATTTGGTGGTGGTGGTGATGGAACGAAGGTGAAAGTAGAGATTGTTACATAGTGGTGGGGTGATGGCGGCAGTGATGATGGTAGTGGCTATGGTGATGGTAGTGTGATAGTGAAGGTGAGAATAGTGGTGATGGTGCTGTGAAATTAGTAAAAATTTAATTGAAAAAACATTTTTTATTTTTTAAAAGTAACAAACAACAAAATTCGTGGGGAACTAAAGGAAGAAGATGGAGGATGGATTGGGTGTGGTAATGCATAGATATCTTAAAATGAGTGGTTCAGATTTATTAAAGGTATATTTAGATTTTGGATAAATTAAAATGAATGGTTCAAATTTGCTAAGAGAAAGATGGTTTAATGTCTAAAATGTTGTTGTTAACATTAAATATATATATATATATATATAAAATGGGGATTAAAGTGGGTTGGGGAAAATCCATACCCATTAAGAAATGGAGAGGGTGATACCCATGGGGAATGGGGAATGGGAAAAATTTATTATAGGAGAATGGGGATGTGGAATTAATATCCACCCCATTAACCCCCATTGTCATCCCTAGAAAAACTGGCTAGTAAAAGTCACAAAAGTTAAGGATAAACACGTTTTTAATACTACTTACTAGATTTGAGTATGTATAAAAATAGATAAAAATAAAAGAGTTAATTATTTAAAAATCTTATTTACAAATGTTACGGTAGTTAAGATCCTATCAAAAAATTTGAACTAATAAGTATTATTTAGTAAAATTGAGAATATTATCAGTTTTTTTTCAATTTTTAAAATTAAGAATATTATCAATTTTGCATAGTAATATTTCAGATAATTGTTTCATCAACCGATGAAAAAACAGAGTATGAGATTAAACTTTTTGCCCTTTTGTCTTATTGGTTTGATTCAACTATCTAAGAAAATCGAGAAAATTATCAGTTTTTTCATTTTTAAAATTTTTTTATTTTATTTTAATTTTTAAATTTTTTTTTTAAAGTTTTGCACATCAATGTTTCATCATCATACTCCTTTATAGACACATAATTTTCAGTTTTGCACAAAAAAATAATTCAGTTTTTTCAAATTTTTTTTTCGCACATAATTTTTTTTAAAATCAAAATAAATGTCAAATCATCATATTCCTTTATAGATAATTATAAATGATGAATAATCATTATTTGAAACGCAATTCCAACTATTAAAAATTTAATGGGACTTGAAAGTGTAAAAAATCTTAATTATAACTTAATAAGTTCAAAAATTAGGATTTGTGTATAAATACTTCAAAAATAAATAAAGAGTGGTACTATTAGCACCCTATGAATTATTTTAGACCCCTCATTTCTTTGGGCCCCACTTATAAATTTTGAAACCCTCAAAATTTCTCCCCAAAATAATACTAAATTATTCTTGTGAAAACATTTTACCTGTTGAATGCACACCTTCTACCCCAAAAAAACCCATTTTCCAAAAAACCATAACAAAACCCACCAAGAAAAAGAAGAGCCAATGCGATACTGTCTCTGCTGCCTCATCCACCATTGTCACAGTTGGTATGATCTCCCTCTATATATATATACATAATTTCTTAATTTTCTCATAAAAATTTCTTTTCTTCCAAGAAAAAAATTATAATAATTGGTTTGGTTGGTTTGGTTAATAGATATTATAATTATAATAATTGCTATGGTTAGTAGATATTATAGAATTGTGAGTTCAGCAGAGAACTACGCAGCAATATTATCAAAGTTACGCAATGAAGGAATAACTTTTGAATCTGATAATGGATTTGGACTACTTCCGATAACTTCTGTAAGTGTTAAAAATTTTGACCATTCAATGTATTAAGAAATTTCTATGTTCGGACTTGCATTCCCAAACATTACTTATTTGTTCGGGAACTTCCCGAATAAATAAGTAATGTTCGGGCATGTATGCTCGAACTTGAAAAAATGAAAACTTTTGCAAGCGTTAACAATTTTAACCGTTCAATGTGTTAAGATATTTCCGTGCTCGGACCTACATTCTCGAACAAATAATAAATGTTCGGTTACTGGTTCCCGAACAAATAAACAATGTTAAGGTCTGTGTTCCTGAATTTCGGTCATATATTTGGGAGTTCAGTCCCAAAAAAATGACGAATTGATTTTTATTATTTTTGTCATTTCTTTCAAGAAACTTACTCTTACATGGCCAATCTCCTTTGGGCTAAGAACAACATCAAAGTTATGAACCTCCTTTAAGTTTTTATTGTCATACTCCTCTCGTCTTATGGAGTTGTGATTATCAGAAAAACTTTCACTCATTGTCATTGTTGGAGAAGTGTAGATAGTCAAATGGTTGCTACTGTTATCACAAGAATATTGTGCCAAAGGGTTTTTAAGATTTTGAGGGTGGTTAAGTTTTAAAGGTGGGATTTAGGGAAGATGGATGGGTAGTGATGGAGGTGGGTGCTCTCATAAACCCTAATTCATGATGTAATGGGTGTGTAGGTTTAATTGTGAGATGGGGTGTCCCAAAATTAATGATATCTTTTGTAGTAATTTTATTTGAGGTTATTATTGTAATAAAAAAAAGGTTAAAAATTGGGGGGTACAAAAAATTTATGGGGTGCTAATAGCGGCCCTCTAAATAAACTCTCTTAAGTAATTCGAAAAGTACATTCAATTCTATAATTTTGATATAATTATACTAATATCTTCTCTAGTAATGATAAAACAAAACAATATTAATAGAATATGTAAAATTGCTTTTATTTTATTTTATTTTATATTTTATATTTTATATTTTTTTATCCAACAATGATATAGAACCCCTTTTTTGAGGATCCCCACAACCCGCAAAGTGATCCACACTATTCATTATGTGGGCCCCACACATACATGAATGAGCCCCATACATCATGACTAGTGTGGATTACTTTGGAGGTTGTGGGGGTTCTCCAATAAAGGGGTCTCACTCATTTTTATTTTTTATCTTTACTTGCTTCATGCCATTCAAATGATCACGCCCATAGCGAAGTTGTCACCAAACCAATTATCATCCCCCCAAAATTTAAATTTAGCAAATACTCAATAATTACAAATCAATTTTAACATATTATCAACAATTTCAATTAATTTATAGTTACAAAACAATATTATCAACAATTTCAATTCTCTGTTTGAAACTTTGGGTCCAAAATAGAGTGTAATGGAGTTAATTTGGCGAAATGTGGCATCGCCTCGAGTTCAATTCTTTTAATGGTTGGTTTGGAAAAGGAGGGTTAAGGTCGCGAACTTGCTTCACAAACTTAATATTATCAATGATATTAACCAAAGCATGTGTTGCTTCTTCATCCTTGGAAACAATGGATCATTTGTTCTTGCATTGTTTTTTATTCCTGAAAAATTTGGGCAACGTGCT